CATTACAGACAGAAAAGACCCATCTAGTAATCTTTAGTTTTTGGAAATATACGGAGCTGGTTAATTATGCATGTGTATTGTGTAATCATGTGTATAGACCCCTTTCGGCGAGAAGTAGCAGCTTGTGAATATCATTAATTTTGCAATGAATATCATTATATCTCAGTTACGGTATACGCCCACATACAATAATTGGCCGCCATGTTTTACGTCAAGCAGCAAGTGCTTTCTGTGTCCTGGAGATCTTGGTCACTACATTTTGAAGCTCAAAACTATTCTAGAGTCAAGAAAGATGCCAAAAGAGCCAACCTAGGAAGTATAGTGCAATACTCTTGTTGTATGAGCCTGCTTTCCTCTTTGGGCTGTGACAGAGAGTCAAGAACTGATCGTTCTGACTGTCCCAGACTTCTTAAGTCTTCAAAATATCTTGCTATAGTAAAGAACAGTTGATATGAAGCCTCTCATAGACCTGAGTTCAGCACAACAAAAGCTTTATTGGCAAAACAGCTCTACTTTGCACATCAGCCATTGGAACTCTGCATAACTTTGACGTAAAACATGGCGGACAAAAATCCGTTCAATATTATTTCTTTGTATACACGGTATCACAAACTAATTCTCGCCTAAAGGGGTCTATAGATCTAATTAGTCTAGTCTGGCAAGATTGTGCCCCTTCCTCAGTGTCCTAGGTGTCTTCAGTGTCCTAGGTGTCCACAGTGTCTTAGGTGCATAGTCCACAGTGTCCTAGGTATCTTCAGTGTCCTAGGTGTCCACAGTGTCTTAGGTGCATAGTCCACAGTGTCTTAGGTGTCCACAGTGTCCTAGGTGTCTTCAGTGTCCTAGGTGTTCATAGTGTCTTCAGTGTCCTAGGTGTCCACAGTGTCTTCAGTGTCCTAGGTGTCCACAGTGTCCTAGGTGTCCACAGTGTCCTAGGTGTCTTCAGTGTCTTAGGTGTCCACAGTGTCTTAGGTGTCTTCAGTGTCCTAGGTGTCTTAGGTGTCCACAGTGTCCACAGTGTCCTAGGTGTCTACAGTGTCCACAGTGTCCACAGTGTCCTCAGTGTCCACAGTGTCCACAGTGTCCTAGGTGTCTACAGTGTCCACAGTGTCCACAGTGTCCACAGTGTCCTCAGTGTCCTAGGTGTCCACAGTGTCTTCAGTGTCCTAGGTGTCTTCAGTGTCTTAGGTGTCCACAGTGTCTTAGGTGTCTTCAGTGTCCTAGGTGTCTTAGGTGTCCACAGTGTCCACAGTGTCCTAGGTGTCTACAGTGTCCACAGTGTCCACAGTGTCCTCAGTGTCCACAGTGTCCACAGTGTCCTAGGTGTCTACAGTGTCCACAGTGTCCACAGTGTCCTCAGTGTCCTAGGTGTCCACAGTGTCTTCAGTGTCCTAGGTGTCTTCAGTGTCTTAGGTGTCCACAGTGTCTTAGGTGTCTTCAGTGTCCTAGGTGTCTTCAGTGTCTTAGGTGTCCACAGTGTCCTCAGTGTCCTAGGTGTCTACAGTGTCCACAGTGTCCTCAGTGTCCACAGTGTCCTAGGTGTCCACAGTGTCCTAGGTGTCTACAGTGTCCTCAGTGTCCTAGGTGTTCAGGCTCAGTGTCCTAGGTGTCCTTGCATGTCCCTAGTGTGAAATGTCAGTGTTCATCAGTATTTTAATATGACCTTGTATATCTAACAATGAACATGGAGGAGTTGAAGTTAATTCCTATTTTAAAATAATTATGTACAATTTATTTAGGAAGAGATTGTTCGTATATAATCCCGAAACACATGAATGGAAGATGAGATGCATTGATTATATTGACATTTTTAATACTTTCATTACATTATTGATAAAGCAAGAGTACTGTAAATTATGTACTCTTGATAATAATTATTATAAATGAGCAACTTTTCAAGAATAAGTTAATAAACTATAGTGACATGATTAAGCTATTCAAGGCTTTGAGCAGAATCTTATATTTACTTTTGATGAATTTAGACTTCTTTTTCAATTACTTTCTTTGGATAGCAGAAAGAGAGGAATGCTTTAACTACAGCTTACTATAGGACAAGAGTGTACTATGTGCTGTGAGTCACTGTTCATGGAATCTATTTTTTGTGTCTCTTTTATTGCCCTTGATTATAACATGAAAATGAAACGATTTATTTCATGATAATAAAATTAAGAAAATACAATCAAAAGTCACCATTTGTAAACTATAGAGTTCATGAGCAATCATTACATACAAAGTCAGTTGGGCATGCCACACCTGATACAGCTTGAGAATTTGCACATGCCTGATGCACCCATAATTCACATGTCTTACATACTGCCCAGTTCACATCATCATTGGATGACTGGTCATCTACTTTGTGACATACTCCACAAACTGTTGGCTCCACATCTTTCAGATTGTCTCTGACAGATTCTTCATGTTCAAAAGTAGGCTTTCCAAGACCTGGTGTCATTTGCCTTCTCTTTTTTGTAGAATAAAATCGTGGTTGATTAACATTGTTGGCATTTGGAGCAGGGTGTTTTCTCACTGAAAATGGCTTTAAAGTCTTTTCATTAGCTTCTATAATTTTTATGGAAGATTTTAAGTGAGAATTCACCTCTCTTAATTCTGTGTC